AGACCTGCTTCCCACTATTGTGAGCTACAAAAGAAGAGTACACAATGTGTCACTTTGCTCGAGTAAGCAGGAATTTTTTAAGAATGCAGCTATATACCCATGTCGTCTTTATTTAATATTGTGAAAAATTTAAGTTTAAAGATTGTTTTGAATGTAAAGCTGCAATGACAGTGCTCGACACTTCAGAGTAGATCTTACAGGACCTCAGTTTCTTCAGTAAATCATTTACCATTGATCGCTGATATCAAACTAATCTTATCCTGCCTTAAAAAGTCAATCTAGAGTGGACTAAAACGAAAATAAAAAAGCATTTGAGGTTTTGGTGTATATAATATATCACTATGTAATCTGCCAGCATTGTTATCTCTGTGCCAGTCCGATGTTCCAGCCACTGTCAATAACACTAACATTAGTTTATTACCTCATCAACCACTGCTTAGCAATTATCTACGTTACCATTATATTCCAAATAGTCTTTTACTTTCCTGTGTGCTGTTCAGTACTCTTATAGGCAGCTCAAACTCTTGGAGTGGAACTGTAAAAGGGATAATTATAGGTAATGTGTCCCAGGAGAAGTTCTAGTCCTTCTACACAGATTATGGTTCACAAATCTCTCAACGCTCAACATAGCACTTAGGCAAAAGGATAGATGGTGATGATTTCCATGCAGAAATGGTCCGGAAATGTTGCAGGGCAAGCCATCTTGTGCACGACTATGGATTTATAGTTACTGTCATGGTTTTATAAAAACAGCAATATAAAAAATCTTTAGCCGTATCCAGCTGAGGGAAGTTCAAATGACTTATAAAGAGCTGTTAAAATAACGGGAAAAAAAGATAAGGCGTAAATCAGCTAGGTTATGATAAGTGCTTTCTACAACGATGTTCACTGGCACACAAAGAACAAACAAAATGGTCGCTCTGAGCAATTTCATACCTATAACCAGAACCAAAATGCGAGTTAAATGTCAATGTATGTGTTCCTCCATCAATAATGATATCAATAATATCTTGTAGGATTTTATTCAATTTAGAAACCAAAGTTCCAGATAGTGAGGGAAAATGGAAAGCGACACACAAGTACAATTCTTAAACTTAAGAAAAACTAGTCTACAGGAATTAAAGTTAAAGTTTTATATAAAATTCCAGGTAACTCAAATAAATAGCTTACTGATGAAATATAAAATTGTCAGCAAGTTGTATGAATGAAACCAATACCTTCAAGTTGACACTGATCAAAATTGATATCAAAACTTCATCCTTGACCTACTTACAGTGTGCAGAATGACCTAAATTGACCAAAGAAGGACTTGATGTCCTAAAGGTTTTTCATAATGTACAAGAAAGTACTGGCCATCATCTAAATGTAGGCAGGTTAGAATGCTGAAGAGAAACCACCACAATTTTGTTTAATGGCTTGTAGCTTTAAGTTGATTTAAATTGTGTGCAAATATCACTATGACAACCTGTAAACCAATCAGTGACAATCAGACAGAAACTTGACTTTTCCTTACTCTTACAACTTATTTAGCAACATTGCTGACAGCTGACATTCAATAGATTTGTCTTGAACAAAAAAGATCCTGAATCTAGCCATTCACAGCCCAACTTTTCCACTAATGCACCACTCTGACATTAGTTCTACATCAGACCATTGCTGAAGGGAAAACAGCAGAGCACTGACCATGATAGAGAGGATGATAATATAATCAACGCAGTCAGTCTTCGTTTGCATGCTGCTCTGGCTTACAGTTAGAGAGCCAATATCGTACCCTTTTATTTCTTGATGTTGGATGATAAAACAAATCAACTGAGTCTAAATTGTATCTTTTCATGGTTTCCTGTATTACAGCTCCACCAATCAATAACACACAGAAGCCAATGTTATGCCAGTAGCCGTTTACTATATTTGTATTTTTCAATACACATCATTTATCTACCCTGATCATTACGAGTTGATCCAGCTCATACAGACAGCTTTCCGATGGCTTCAATCCTGCAACTTTCTCTTGAATCTATTAATTTGTCTAGTGTTGTGAAGAAAAAATGACTTTTAAATGTTAATGATTGTGTTTTATGTGTCAGACAATCTGGTGGTCTAGCATCCTGGATAGTGATGGTGGGTCTTGTTTGTGTTTAGTGTCCATCGACATGTGAAAATAGCATGTAAAGTAAATATGTTCTGTACACCAAGCCATCACTTTGGCAATAATCAAGGTGCAATATTCATGCTACGGATGTCTGGAATGTAAACTAGATCCATCTCCGTATACTTACTTCTGTTTAATGCTATATCTCTGGGCAATAAATCTTTTATCACTTGATAAAAGAGAATAGCACAGGATTATGCTGGCAGAATCAACATGATGTCACATATCACAGAACATCGCTTACTACAGTTTCAAACACTGTTGAAAAATTGTTTCAAGCATTGTTGAGAATGAGAAATGAAGAGTATAGATCTATATAAGTCATTTTCAAAGATTCAATATTTAGGAGACACTTGAATTTCTACTATCACTATCCTCCAAGTAAAGTTATCTTCTGACATTGTCTAACCTCGCACATCTCAAGAGGATTCCAACATTTCCAGCTATATCTCACCTCCCTGTAGTATCATAAGACAACCATTAACATTTGAATGTTGCTCTCTACTTCAAGCAATATGATTGCTTGCTCTAAATCTGTTATTGTTTATCACTAACAGGAAATTTCCACCAATACCAAAATGACAGAAAAAAAAACCTTTTCTTTACCGAATGAATTGTTTTGAAATCTTTTTAAACCAAATGTTCTGTAAGGCAATTACACAAGTTGATGTACTAAGGGACCTTTTATACACCCTTATGAAGGTCATTACTACAATACCTTAAAGTATAAACAGCCATGCTTATTCACAGCATTTACCAGTCTTTTATACCGCTAACATTAAATCCCAATGATTAGAATTGAAATGTCAAAGTTGAAATTAATTTAATGAAACTATTTTTCACAAGATTGAAATATTTCTTTATGGATTAGGAAAATAAAAGTTCAAACTAAAAGCATTAGGAACGCTATTAACTTTCAAGACACCAATCACCAGGGTTATAAAAATTGTTTTATGAGTGAGACAAAAGATCCTGTCAGATAAAATCAGGCACCTGTTCCCAGTAATTAGATACAAGGTGTTGGATGTGTTGTTTGACTGGACACACAGAACACCAAACCTGCAGTCATGGTATGACTATGATACGGCTGTAGTTTCATCATTCTCCATACATGTATAGGGCTACCCAATGCTGAATCAAATATCATTAGTAATGGAATTCTTCAAGCTACCGACAATGTTGTATTGATTAGCACACAAAAAGTAATCATTAAAATCAGGCGTAATCTGTACAAGGTAAAACTTGATTATTCTGAGAATCTGAGTAGAAAATCTACAAAACACACTGCAGGAATCTAAGTTGTCAATAGTTTTTACTGGAATATTAAAAAATGTAAAAGTAATTTCAATATGTTCAAAAACATCTTTCAATTTTTTTGAACAATGACATTAGTTCAAATAAAAAAAATTAAGATGTATGTTCCACAATAAAATATTTACTTCATTTGCTGGCTATTTCATTTATTTCTACTGCCACAATTCACAGATATAATTCTGTATAGAGGTAAGTGGACATGGAAGCCATTTTTTTTTGTACATTTATAGACACATACCATAGTTGCATCCTAATTTCTGGTAAAAAGTACAAAGTTTTTAATGAAAAATGATAACAAAGACTTAACGGGGTCCAATTGTCCAGCTTAACAACTCATGCTTCATTATCAAGACTTTAATTAATGTAACAGTTACAATTCGATATTGCCTGTTAGTACAGGTTCTTTCTGTATTAGAACCAATCTGGGAATGATTGATGAAGCTTTGAAGCACCAACCAGCTGTTGTATTAATTTGGTGTCATTGCTGGCTTGGTGTTTCTAGGCCTTCATCAGTAAAAACAATCAGACAAACCTAATCAAAACTGGTCAGCTAAATCTTCTATGAGGTCACTTCACTGACCAACACTTTTGTCTAAAGTGTCAGACAGCTTGTTAACCATTAGATGACCTAAAAATGCCTGACTCATTTGAACCAATATGACCTGCTCTATTGACCAATGCAATGTCAGTGGAAAAGCCATACCATCTTGAACCTCTACTGTCCTGTCTATGACAAGAAAGACCAGCCATACTGCCTGTCACCTCTACTGTCCTGTCTACGACAAGAAAGGGCAGCCATACTGCCAGTCACCTCTACTGTCCTGTCTACGACAAGAAAGGGCAGCCATACTGCCAGTCACTTCTACTGTCCTGTCTACGACAAGAAAGGGCAGCCATACTGCCTGTCACCTCTACTCTCTTGTCTACAGCTAGAAAGAGCAGCCATACTGTCAGTCACCTCTACTCTCTTGTCTACAACAAGAAAGGGCTGCCATACTGCCTGTCACCTCTACTCTCTTGTCTACAACAAGAAAGAGCAGCCATACTGCCTGTCACCTCTACTGTCCTGTCTACAACAAGAAAGAGCAGCCATACTGCCTGTCACCTCTACTGTCCTGTCTACAACAAGAAAGAGTAGCCATACTGCCTGTCACCTCTACTCTCTTGTCTTCAACTTGAGAGAGAAGCCATACTGTCTGGTAACTCAACATTCTTGTTCACAAATATTAAGTTCAGGTATTGACAAAACATGTCTCTTAAATTCTGCTCTAAGATGTCTTTTGAAATTTGCCTATAAGAAACCATAACATCTATATATACAAACCATGGATCTGTATCACTCACCTGATCTGTAGTTGATAAAGAAAAATAATTTTTTGAAGTATTTGGTCTGTAAACCGTCATGTTTTTCATCCCTATCATTATATCCTTCTGTTATATATGTGGTAGGTAAAATAATGAAACTTAAGATCCCTTGGTTAAAGAAAGTAAAATGCTGAGGAAACAAAAAGGTTCTTATGACATGCAAACTACCTACCTGTCATGTTGGAGGAGGCCTTGAGACTGTCATTGGACCACACTGAACCTGCAGTGTCTCCTGTCATACCACCAATTCCACTGTCTGGGTAGCTGTCCCGTCCATAGCTCTCTCGAGCACACTTGTTCCGCAGACGTAGCTCATTTTCAATGAGGAGCTTGGTCTGTTTGGATTTGGTGGAACTAAGTTTGGGATGGGCCTGGGGTCGGTCATGACCAGGTACTATGGTCACGCTATGTTGGGCTGCAAAAGCTGCCCGAACCTCTGACCTATCGCGCGAGGTAAAACTTTTGGCACGCTTCAACATTTCTGGATCTTCTATCTTTGGACTATCGCGTAAAACTGGATCGTCATGAAATCCTTGGTCTTTGTTAATGTCTACTTCTTCAGGAGAAACTGGAAGGGACTGCAGCATACGTTTCAAAACAGAACTATCAAAGTCGACATTGCACATAGGGTTTACAGGGGTCATAGGGGTCAAGGGCTCTGGAGGAGAGGGCCATTCTGGAGATTCTGAAGAAGAGGTTTTTTGAGACAATGTGCCAGGCTTCACTGCGTGGGGTGACAAAACTGTGACACTTTCACCGTGGTTACCACAATAACTTAGACCTTGACATGACTTAGAAGAGTCACCAACGAAGGCAGTTTCCATGCGCACATTTTCACATGTCTTTGAGATTCCTGCAGGTAAAGTGGCAGACGAGCATCGTCCAGCTCCTTTCTGACAAGCAGCAGATTCATTGTCATACTGTGTTTGGTAATACTGTTCTGTAAATTGTATGGCAGATGCAGGTCGAGTGTTCTGTAACAGATTATCAACTACAAACGAGACATGGGTTGTGCCTACTGCAGGCATGGATTTCCTATTATTAACACATGTTTCAGTTTCATTGGATTTCCTTGATGAAGCGTTGGTGACATTATCATACACAGACGAACTTGATGGTGGTTTTAGAATACCTGTTGGTTTAAATAACTGTGCATCATGTTCGGAGTCTGCTCCAGTACGAGGAATCGTGGCCGATTTTTCCTTTTTGTCTGGCTGACTAAGGTCTATGTCAGCTGTGAGGTGGTCACATGTGTCAGGGAAGCCAAGCTCAAATGGACTAGACACGGCTCTCTTGTTGTGGTGAACTGGTGAGTTGGGCGAGGAAATTGATGCGTCTTTGCCCTTTATCCTCTGTAAAATAAACACATATCATGGCTGAAACATATTGGATAAAGACATAAATTTACCATCAATGATGTGTTATTATGATCACATTTTTCCTAGACACACCAGACTAATAGGTATTCAAGACATGTTAACAAGTTTCTTCTGTGGAGCACCATCCTGGACATTCAAGAGTTCTTCCTAAACATTACAAGGAACAAACATCTATTGGAGAACTATTATTATTAAACTAAGGTCCAGAGCACCTGATGTAAAGTTAAGGAACTGAAGTTTAATGGGGAGTCACCATCTTATAGCATCAAACTAAGGTCAAGGACACCTGATGTAATGTTAAGGAACTGAAGTTTAATGGGGAGTCACCATCTTATAGCATCAAACTAAGGTCAAGGACACCTGATGTAAAGTTAAGGAACTGAAGTTTAATGGGGAGTCACCATCTTATAGCATCAAACTAAGGTCAAGGACACCTGATGTAAAGTTAAGGAACTGAAGTCTAATGGGGAGTCATCATCTTATAGCATCAAACAAAGGTCAAGGACACCTGATGTAATGTTAAGGAACTAAAGTTTAATGGGGAGTCATCATCTTACAGCATCAAACTAAGGTCAAGGACACCTGATGTAAAGTTAAGGAACTGAAGTCTAATGGGGAGTCACCATCTTATAGTATCAAACTAAGGTCAAGGACACCTGATGTAAAGTTAAGGAACTAAAGTTTAATGGGGAGTCACCATCTTATAGTATCAAACTAAGGTCCAGCGCACCTGATGTAAAGTTAAGGAACTGAAGTCCAATGGGGAACTAATATCTTGATGTTTTGTCTCTGATTTTCCCATTGTTGGGCATTGTCTTAGTGATGTTGAGGATGTTTATTAAACAATCCTATTTCTGTTGATGCCATGAGTTTTTAAAGATATGATCAATGGCTCTGGTTGTAAGGAAATATGATATATAAAAGGAAACTAATGTCTAAGGCCAAAACCATGACAGAAGAGACAGGTCAGTTTGCTAGTTGAAACACAAACCACCATGATTTGGAAACATCTAACAACCTACCTCAGACCTATGAAGGCCTAAGTTCTATGGGCTGTGTTATCGAGGCCCCCTTTTTTGGCTGAGGGGACTGATTTCTTTAACAAGAACCTGTTGCCTAGTAACAAAAGCTGAATTTATTGTTGAAATATATTTGTGTAAGGATTGAGAAGTTATAGCATGTGACAACCAAAACAACTAGAGTTGAACAGATTTGCATATCAATTTGTTGAATCATTATGAGACAGTCTTACAGAATAACTGTCTCAGTTATTTGTCTCTAGCTGTGAAACAATCACATTGTGTTTTTTTTATAATTTTTCTAATGGCCCTTTCTTTGTTTCCAGCAGCAGAAAGAATGATATTTTTACTTAAATTTCTACAAAACTTCATTTCACAAACATGACTTGGAGCATTTGGCCGAATCAGCTGCCACAGTATTGACAGAAAATAATTGAAAATCATGTTGAGTTTGCAGAAATGGCTTTCAATTTTCACAACAACGGTTGCGTGCAAGTTAACACCCAAAAATTTGCAGTTATCATTCCTTGGGAAAATAGTTCAGTTTTTTTATGTTAATACTTGACAATGCAAATAAGGCCAAATGTGTGTTGGTGATTTTTTGTTGATGCTGTAGTTTTTACTTGGTATAGAAGGGAATCTGATTGGGAGGTGTTGACATGCAAGAACTCTGAAAAATTCTACACACTGTTCTGATATTTCAACTGCAAATCAAATCTAAACTAGAAAATAATGCTGATCTTAACCTTGTAGTTAAGATGGAAGAAATGTCCTTACATTTCTGCAAACAAAAATTTCTTTCCTTTTGCTTTGAGCACTATGTAAACTTAAATCCTTAAAAAATCAATCAATGAAAAAAGTGGCATAAAAACCCAACACATAAATTACAGCCAGGATTGTACAAAGTAAGAATTTTCTACACATTTCTGTGGTTAAGGAAATTCTGTATTGGACTACAGTAATGGACACTGAGGAATCCCGTCAGACTGCAGGAATAGGAAAAGATACTGTGAACTTTTTGTTCTCTATTTAGGAACTCTAATTCCTATGTCTGCAGGTTTCTGTCACATAAATCACACAATGGCGTTTTTAAGCTGAAAAATAAATCTGTGTGTGTGTTTTTACCCTGTTTGCTATTGATTTAAGCATCCATTTAAGTTGCAAGTTTAGATAGAATGTGGTTATATATATAACTGTTTATGGCTGACAGCATGAGCGATTCTGAAGCTATGATTGTAGGTCGCTAGTTCGCTTCTACTTCCAAGTTTGGCTAGGGTTACGCCTCCATAGTCTGCCATCTAAAAATGTGTTGAAGGGGTCAAACTCTAACATACTTTCGTCCTTGTGACCATGTTGAAATAACCTCATCTATTTCTTACTAATGATGGATGGTGAATACAAAGAGATATAATCCTTAAGATGAGCCCCAAAACTGTCTGATGTGAAATCCTATACAAGTTCTAGTAGGCTCTGATGGACATTAACGACACAAGAGCCCGGTTTGATGCCAGAATTTCAAAGTTTTTGGATCATTAGTTTTTAATGACAACTCAACATTCAATATCAGCAATACCACTGGGACATAAATTCTCTGTCGGTTACATTGGCACAAAAACAATCTTTAATTCCAGCCTTTAATACACATCAACACAAAAATTTCTGTTCAGCCAATGAATATCATGAATACAAATTTACTCTGTTACTATGTCTATAAATTACCTGTTAATTTAGAAAGAGAGGGGGTTTTCTGCATACAATGGATATACACACTCCCTGATGAATATATAACCAGTAATGTATCACATTTTTATAGTCATTCATCAGATCATTTTTTTCTGTGTTTATCTGAGATTGAACAAAAATATTATTTATTTTGCATCCTTGAACAGATGGTTTTTTTCTGCTTTCTTTGTTCACTCTGTTAACATCTTTTCTGTTCTATTTCATCAGTTTATTAAGACTTCTTCTGATCAGTTGATCTTATGATCAATTTTGATAAAAGCCTTTTTCAAATGGTCCATTCAGGCTTTTAAGACCTTTTCTGATTGGTATGGTCAGTGAATGTTGAGACATTTTCCGATTGGTTTGTTCAGGGTCTGATAAGACCTTTTCTGATTGGTTTGTTCAGGGTCTGATAAGACCTTTTCTGATTGGTTTGTTCAGGGTCTGATAAGACCTTTTCTGATTGGTTTGTTCAGGGTCTGATAAGACCTTTTCTGATTGGTTTGTTCAGGGTCTGATAAGACCTTTTCTGGTTGGTTTGTTCAGGGTCTGATAAGACCTTTCCTGATTGGTTTGTTCAGGGTTGATAAGACCTTTTCTGATTGGTTTGCTCAGGGTCTGATAAGACCTTTTCCTAATTGGTTTGTTTAGGGTTTGATAAGACCTTTTCTGATTGGTTTGTTAGGGTCTGATAAGACCTTTTCTGATTGTGATAGACCATTTAGTAAGAGGATTCTTGCTAACATTTGTTATAATAGACATTTTTGGTCAGGAACTGATAAGACCTTTTCTGATTTTTTTTCAAGGTCTGATAAAACCAAGTTGATTTTGTCAGAAGTCTGATAAGACCTTTTCAGCATTGAATGTGTCTGACAAATTTTGCCATTGGTCTTGTTCAGGGTCTGATAAGACAGAGTCTGATAACCTTTTAGATGGTTTTATTGTCATTGATTAAAAATAATGCATTGTTGAGGGTCTGATAAGACCTTTTCTGATTGGTTTGCTCAGGGTCTGATAAGACTTTTTCCTGATTGGTTTGTTCAGGGTCTGATAAGACCTTTTCTGATTGGTTTGTTCAGGGTCTGATAAGACCTTTTCTGATTGGTTTGTTCAGGGTCTGATAAGACCTTTTCTGATTGGTTTGCTCAGGGTCTGATAAGACCTTTTCTGATTGGTTTGCTCAGGGTCTGATAAGACCTTTTCTGATTGGTTTGTTCAGGGTCTGATAAGACCTTTTCTGATTGGTTTGGTCAGGGTCTGATAAGACTTTTTCCTGGTTGGTTTGTTTGGGGTTTGATAAGATCTTTCCTGATTGGCTTGGTCAGACTTTGTGAAGACCTTTTCTGATTGGTTTGGTCAGGGTCTGATAAGACCTTTTCTGATTGGTTTTTTCAGGGTCTGATAAGACCTTTTCTGATTGGTTTGCTCAGGGTCTGATAAGACCTTTTCTGATTGGTTTGCTCAGGGTCTGATAAGACTTTTTCCTGATTGGTTTGTTCAGGGTCTGATAAGACCTTTTCTGATTGGTTTGCTCAGGGTCTGATAAGACTTTTTCCTAATTGGTTTGTTTAGGGTTTGATAAGACTTTTTCTGATTGGTATTGTTAGGGTCTGATAAGATCTTTTCTGATTGTGATAGACCATTTAGTAAGAGGACTCTTGCTAACATTTGTTATAATAGACATTTTTGGAGAACATGAAAATCAGCACTGTTTATTTTTTCATTCAAGATAAAAAAGCACAAGTTGATTTTGTGAGAAGTTAATAGCTGTCAGCATGAGAATGTGTCTGACAAATTACTGCCATGGTCTTAATGAATGTGATTACCCTTTTCAGTGTTCTTGCAGAGTCTATAATTTACAAGTAGATGGTTTTATTGTCAGAGAAACTGATTAAAAATAATGCATTGTAGATGAGGTTGTTGTGGAAACCGATTTGGTCTCCTGATTGGAGTGCCTGAGCTTACTGGATGTTCCATCTTGTGAGGCATCTTTTACGTGAGAGTACTGTACCTAATGAACTCCCACAATGTGATTGAGCTAATAAAGAGACAATTTCACAAATACAATCCTGATTGCAAAGAACCTGTTAACCTTGAATGCTACATAAAACCAACATGGAAATCCATCTGCAAAATTTTTAATTTAAAAAAAACTGCAATGTATGTAAATGAAGATTGAGAGAAAAGTACCTAAGTCATTATTTAGTGGGACAATTAGTGAGGCATGTCTGTGACAATCTCATCCATAACCATCTACAACAGTACCTACATCATCCATATCTATCCGTGAAAACAATCTACAACAGTACCTACATCCTCCATATCTATCCCTGGAAACAATACAGTACCTACATCCTCCATATCTATCCCTGGAAACAATACAGTACCTACATCCTCCATATCTATCCCTGGAAACAATACAGTACCTACATCCTCCATATCTATCCCTGGAAACAATACAGTACCTACATCCTCCATATCTATCCCTGGAAACAATACAGTACCTACATCATCCATTGTCCATCACACTTTATCCAGAGGGGTTATTATAGCTTAATATTACTACAGCTAAAACTGATGCTTCTGCAAAAATGAACAAGGGGTCTTATTTGTTTACAGGGATTTATTTGTTTACAGGGACCTATTTGTTTACAGGGATTTATTTGTTTACAGGGATTTATTTGTTTACAGGGATTTATTTGTTTACAGGGATTTATTTGTTTACAGGGACTTATTTGTTTACAGGGACTTATTTGTTTACAGGGATTTATTTGTTTACAGGGACTTATTTGTTTACAGGGATTTATTTGTTTACAGGGACTTATTTGTTTACAGGGATTTATTTGTTTACAGGGACTTATTTGTTTACAGGGACTTATTTGTTTACAGGGATTTATTTGCTTACAGGGACTTACAGGGACTTATTTGTTTACAGGGACTTATTTGTTTACAGGGATTTATTTGTTTACAGGGATTTATTTGTTTACAGGGACTTATTTGTTTACAGGGATTTATTTGTTTACAGGGACTTATTTGTTTACAGGAATTTATTTGTTTACAGGGACTTATTTGTTTACAGGGATTTATTTGTTTACAGGGACTTATTTGTTTACAGGGACTTATTTGTTTACAGGGACTTATTTGTTTACAGGGACTTACAGGGACTTATTTGTTTACAGGGACTTATTTGTTTACAGGGATTTATTTGTTGACAGGGACTGTTTACAGGGACTTATTTGTTTACGGGGACTTATTTGTTTACAGGGACTTACAGGGACTTATTTGTTTACAGGGACTTACAGGGACTTATTTGTTTACAGGGACTTATTTGTTTACAGGGATTTATTTGTTTACAGGGACTGTTTACAGGGACTTATTTGTTTACAGGGACTTATTTGTTTACAGGGACTTACAGGGACTTATTTGTTTACAGGGACTTATTTGTTTACAGGGATTTATTTGTTTACAGGGACTGTTTACAGGGACTTATTTGTTTACGGGGACTTATTTGTTTACAGGGACTTACAGGGACTTATTTGTTTACAGGGACTTACAGGGACTTATTTGTTTACAGGGACTTATTTGTTTACAGGGATTTATTTGTTTACAGGGACTGTTTACAGGGACTTATTTGTTTACAGGGACTTATTTGTTTACAGGGACTTATTTGTTTACAGGGATTTATTTGTTTACAGGGACTTATTTGTTTACAGGGACTTATTTGTTTACAGGGACTTACAGGGACTTATTTGTTTACAGGGATTTATTTGTTTACAGGGACTGTTTACAGGGACTTATTTGTTTACAGGGACTTATTTGTTTACAGGGATTTATTTGTTTACAGGGACTGTTTACAGGGACTTATTTGTTTACGGGGACTTATTTGTTTACAGGGACTTACAGGGACTTATTTGTTTACAGGGACTTACAGGGACTTATTTGTTTACAGGGACTTATTTGTTTACATGTTTAAATGTTCTATCACTTTCTGAGGAATATAAAAGCTAACACAAAAATTCTATATAGTTAAAATGTGCATGATTTTTTTAGCCTACACTATGCACATGATTAAATTAGCTTTGGATTTTAGGCAGAAAACTTTGAATGATGTAATTTACATAATTTTTGTAGCTACCATTCTAATAACACAATACAAAAACAGGCTTGAAATCATTAGAATGACCATGACAATCATAAATGTCTGAAATTTACAACCACTACACAGAGATCCAATTTAAATGTCCAAAATTCATCATAAATGTCCTGGTGTTAATTATAAGCACTTAAATATTCAAATTAAGTAATTGTTATGGAAACCTAGGCATTTAATTCTTAGTTATAATTAAATCACAGACTGTATATTTTTGACAAAGGAATTCAAATTACCCCAAAAAACAGACATGCTATAATCCCTAAATACTCCATAAATATGTAAAATATTATATACCTCATGAATACTGAGCAATGTAAAACATAACACTACTGATCTAACTTTTGATAACAACAGGTTGAACATCAAAACAACATACAATTTGTAAAGAATTCAAAATGGATTTCTTACATTTCTTACCTTCGGTGGACTGAGTCGGAGGGAGCTGGCTGAGGACGCCTTCCTTGAAAACTTCTGAGCAGGATTCTACAAAAATATGAGACAATTTTAAGAACCCTTCTACATTCACCAGAAATCAAACTAAAAATTTCATTAATGATATTCAGCAAGTCCAGTTCCGCTATTATTAAAGATAGAACTTCAATGGTAAGCTGTCATGTAATTTCTATGATAATCCATGTTAAAATGGCACTGGAATAATCCTGTTCCACGATAATTAATGATATGATTCCCTTTTCCATTCAATCATTCATATTGTTTCCTCATTTCGTGACATTCTGTGTAAATAGGACCCTTTTGTCACGAGCCAAAGACTTGTAAAGATATCATTTCTATCTCTTACACATACAGCCATCATTTAAGATTCAATTGTCATGATTATCTGTACAAAATGTGTTCACTTTGCAAATTCTTCAAAAATATATAAACCGATGATACATCAGGGGCTCCAGGATTGACTAGGATCTGTTCTGATGTGGAGAGAATGTCAGACGGGTGGGACAGGATGTAGAATTGGAGAGGATGTCGAACATTTGCATTTGCTATTATACCTAGTACACCCTCGGGTATACGGATAATATCTATTGTTGGAAAGACACAGCCCACCGCCATCTGTAACTTTCTGTATTTATTCATCTAATGAACAAACAAGGAGTAAATATTGACAGAACCATCAGTGGTGTACAACTTTTCTACAGAATACTGTTATTTCCAGACAACACTGTTAAAGAAATGATAAAAAATGTCAATTACCAAGCGATACATTTTGGCAAATGATATGCTTAGAAAGCAGCCCAAGAGTCGCTGTATTCTCTGCACTTGAATTGTAAAGTAACATCTTATGTTACACAAACGTCTACTCAAATCACTAATGCAGACATAACCTTACATTACGCTGGGCATTTGTCGGTCCGATATCAACATGTGACATAGAAGAAAAATCTATAAGTAATTCAAGTTTATTTCTTCATCTGCCATGACACTGACAAGAGCTGTTATATCATCACGATAGATTCTAAGGACTTGATTAAATGTTATTCAATTTTCAGAGGGTCGATATCAATTTAGGCAAACATTCGGGCAACAAAATAAGCTCCTAATCAATCAGCTGGCAGAGGGTCTCTCGCTAAGATGGCAATGAAGAGCTCAAAACGGCATGACTTCTTTATCTACACTTGCTGATTAGTCACAAATTGTGTTGTCATTCAGACCGCAGAAAGCAGGGTAGAAGGAGGGACCAGAGAAAACTGGGTAGGTGTACCTGGAGACCACATACAGACACCAGGTCAAGTAGCTGTTGGTTACATGTCATGTACTTATTATTTATATCAGAAATTAAACTTGACATGTTTATCTATAAACTGACATGACTTTACCAGGTGCCACGTGATCTAGACAAAGTTTTAAATAAAACTTGTGAGTTTTTCTGAAAGCATGAATTTGTTCTGTAGCGGTGCATGACTCTTACATAGCCATGTTATCTTGGTAGAGGACACCACGACCTTGAAATGACTTACAAAGACATCTAACTCGGATCCTCCTACACATGTTCATTTTGATAGCCAATTTATTTCAAGATGAAAATAGGAAAGAAATGGTATCCAAGATAAATTTCATCCATATATCAAATCCCCTTCAAGTGCCTGAGATAGAGTCTGTCAGAGTTACACCCAAGGAGCAAGCGAGGCTTCATGGGGCCCCATCAGTTGTAAGCTTTTATCCTCGTACTCCAATCTCCCTGTACTGGAGAAATCAAAACAAGACAGCATTTCTAACCATCTTAAGTACAGAAGCACTTTATACCTGGCAACATCTCCAAAGCATAGCAGGAAAAGGTAAAAACTTTACAAGGTAAACTCACCTGTTTTATACCTAAACATTTTCAAGGCTCTTGGAATTTACACTTACATCAATTGGTTGATATTCTCTGCAACATTTTATCATAGCAGATCAACTTGTATTAAAACACTTCCATAAATATTTAAAAACAGTAAAACAAAAGCACGACTTCAGTCTTTCTCAATCTAAGGCATAGAGAAAATGTAATGTCAATCATTGACAATGTACAGTAAACAATGAGAGACAGAAACAATTCCATGGCAACAACAAACAGGAATAGAATCAACATACAATGTCAGTGTGACAGGATATCAGTGTGACAGATATAGGAACTGACAAGACATCAGTGTGACAGGACATCAGTGTGACAGGACATCAGTGTGACAAGACATCAGTTTGACAGGACATCAGTGTGACAGGACATCGGTGTGACAGATATAGGAACTGACAGGACATCAGTGTGACAGATATAGGAACTGACATGACATCAGTGTGACAGGGCATCAGTGTGACAGGGCATCAGTGTGACAGATATAGGAACTGACAAGACATCAGTGTGACAGATATAGGAACTGACAAGACATCTGTGTGACAGATACAGGAACTGACAAGACATCAGTGGACAGATACAGGAACTGACAAGACATCGTGGACAGATACAGGAACTGACAAGACATCAGTATGACAGATACAGGAAATGACAAGACATCAGTATGACAGATACAGGAACTGACAAGACATCAGTGGACAGATACAGGAACTGACAAGACATCGTGGACAGATACAGGAAATGACAAGACATCAGTATGACAGATACAGGAACTGACAAGACATCATGGACAGATACAGGAACTGACAAGACATCAGTATGACAGATACAGGAACTGACAAGACATCAGTATGACAGATACAGGAACTGGCAAGACATCAGTGGACAGATACAGGAACTGACAAGACATCGTGGACAGATACAGGAAATGACAAGACATCAGTATGACAGATACAGGAACTGACAAGACATCAGTATGACAGATACAGGAACTGACAAGACATCAGTGGACAGATACAGGAACTGACAAGACATCAGTATGACAGATACAGGAACTGACAAGACATCAGTGTGACAGATACAGAAACTAACAAGACATCGTGTACAGATACAGGAAATGACAAGACATCAGTATGACAGATACAGGAACTGACAAGACATCAGTATGACAGATACAGGAACTGAAAAGACATCAGTGGACAGATACAGGAACTGACAAGACATCTGTGTGACAGATATAGGAACTGACAAGACATCAGTGTGACAGATATAGAACTGACAAGACATCAGTGTGACAGATATAGGAATTGACAAGACATCAGTGTGACAGATGCAGGAACTGACAAGACATCAGTGTGACAGATACAGGAACTGACAAGACATCTGTGTGACAGATATAGGAATTGACAAGACATCAGTATAAATGTATACTGAGTGGCTTCTTTGACAAAAGTGCAAAGAGTGAGCAGCAGCTGATAGGGATAAGTGCATTTTTTATACTGTTTGTCCAGCAGCTAGCTGCACTTTTATGTCCAGCAGACAAAAAGCTTAAGACTAATTTTATGTCTTGCACTTTGAATCTAAGACTGTGAAATGTACCTAAAAAAATCAAATTAAAAATACTGTTCAGAAGAATGTGACACAAGGTGCAGTTTTTATTTGACAAGTGTCACATTAATAAAGTAATCAAACAAGTCTGTGGTCCATAATAGTATCAGTAATGGACATATCAACATAAACCTTTACAGGCTGCGGGACAATCATGCTAGCGTTAATAAGGGCTGAGGGACAGTAATACTAGTACCTTAAAAAGGTCAAAAGGACAAGTAAAGACAAAGTTGGCCACTTTATAAGGGCTGAGGGATGTGAAAAGACAAAGTTAGCACCTCAATAAGGACTGAGGGGCTTGAAAGAACAAACTTAATGAGCATTGAGAGACATTTAAACACAAACTTTGGTCCTTACTAAGATTTGATGAAAGAAGAAAACAATGGACATGTGTTTAGCGAGACCTACACCTTACCAATACAGGGGAAACACCTGTGCTTTACAAATCTCAAATTAATCAGCATTACAAGTTCACATTTAAAGGCCAAAGTATTTTACCTACCTTTTTCTTGAAAATGATAATTCTATATAAATCCATGGTTATACCTTCATATACCTGTACCATCAGGGTGGAAATGATCTATATTTACCTTACAAGTTCATCATTTACTACCAACACTTCGATCAAACTTCTGAGAATATTCCTCAGGTGATTTTCAGTGGGTAGGAAATGCATGTGCAGAGAAACAGGTCGTGAGAATTACAGGTATCATCACTACGGAAGAAGGAGGGAGCTAACAGGAAGGTGTGATGTATATCAATGTACCTGAGGGCAGTTTGTACTGGCTAACCTATAACACCATCCTACATGTGAGAACACACCAGGAGAATGTGTGGCATATAACACCTTACAGGTGTTGTAAATAATTATCTCAAACACTGTCTCAGAGGTACTATGTCAACACCACTAGATCTATAGGAGAGATCAACATTGTCACAGGTTATGTCAATACGTTTGAACCTATGAGAGAAAACAGTATCATAAAAGGTACATGTCAATAGATGGAATCTTACCCAAAATCCATTGGAAAGTTAGAGAGAGACCTTATCCTGTTTATACCGTGAATACACATTACCCTCTGGGACTGTAAACTTGACATGTGCCCTTGTCTATATATATTATATATATAATCTGCCAGAACTGTCCCATAAGTCTATATCTAAATAAGGAATTACACAGGTAATTACTATGTAAATATGCAAGATCAGGATAATTTGTTTTGACAATTTCAGCTAGCATTACAATGTTAATTGATACTTGGGGCCCCAACAGTAGCACAGACACCTTGGTTCTATGGTACCTAGTTCTCCCAAGGGAACACCACTCTAACCTTCTTCCATAATAAAGCTGGGATTTCTCTCAGAGCCTGTCACAAATACGATATATTTACACATGTAATGGACTGACTTCTCTCCCCCTGAGACACATGGAGTCTTATTTAGGGCCTTTGATATTGTTATTTTCTTTGTCCAAACTAAAAGGTTAGTGTCAAAATGGCAGGATTAACAACAATAGACTGATAAAATATTGATGGAAAGGGCTATAACATGATAATCTACTTTGAACACTGCTGTGTAAATTGTAATAAACTGAAACAGATTGTTTTTTAATAAAGATTTTTCAGGATGTATGACACCTTAAAGGCTATGAAGCTATGCACCCTGAAGAGGTTAGATGTATTTACTACATAAAGAAACTTACTGTGCAGCAATCACGGAAACGCTTAGCATCCGATGGGGTGGTGAAATTGAGGCCCCACTCAACTTTGGCCGCAGAGTCACGCCAGTGGACAAAGCTCTCAGTGGCTGGACATATTATAGTTCCTGCAAAGACAGTGCAAATCAATGAGAACTGACCGACACACAAAGGCTATCCTTTCCACACACAAACATGGCAGACGGACAACACACAACAAATTATCTCTGTTTGATTTAAGCTGCTCCGTACATTTATGAATTGTGTAATATATGTTACCATTCTTGAGTGTGTACACACAAGATCGATCCGGTCAGCCAACCATACCGGCCTGGCATATTGATTTTAGCCAGCTGTTTCAGGCTAACAAACATTTTCCTCTAAAACAGCAGTTGAGGTGTTAAATCGCCTGCTACAGTATTGGAATCCATTGTGACAACAGTGGGCACACGTCTTTGTTGTCCTTGTTCTGTACATGGTGGATCAGTTTTGAACAACAGTTTCTAGTAATACCACATGAAGTGCACATTCCATCATAAATGTCTTTTGTCAGGCATACCTGTGTCTGTCAGCACTTAAACTAACTCAAACGAGTCCTCCGTTAACTCACAGGAAGTCTAGATAAAGTTGTATACAGAAGAATTAAGAGTTACCTGGCCAGATAGGTCATTTGTCATAATCATATCTCCTTAGCGTCCCTCATCATAGTAATAACTCCAGCTTTAAAGGGACAACACCAGTGATTTTGTCACCAGACATTTACAAAGTAGATAATTACATGATGCATTCATATTTAAAATTAGATTTTCTAAAGTTAGAAAAGACTTTTAAACGATCATACAGGGCTTTTATAAAATTTAATCTATTTTTTAAGCCCATACATTGGAATTTCCCTTGACACTCCACGTGAGATAGCAGACCAATCATTACACTGTCAGTCTTCCCTCAGGACAAAACCCTATCCCTTCTTTATATAATGAAATGTTCTACCATCGTTTTATGAAGCAAAGAAGAAAACAAAGCAAGCACATGCTTTTGTAGGAACCATATTGAATTATTCATGGCATGCAAATCCAGTCATGTTTTATATGTAATGAGATTTCTATCTGCTATTCATGCAAGCAAATGATTAGATTAAGAAAAAAACTAGTGAGATATGTTAACTTTGAGAGCCCTTGAACCTGAGGCAAATTAAAACTAAACTTACAATTAAAATTCTAAAATGTGTTATTTTGTTCAAGCGAAATTGAACTATGCATATAAGCATTTCTTTAGTGCCCACCTGCAAGACCATGTCTATTAACATTTTAAGCGGGCAGATTTTTAGAATTTTGACAAATGAAAATCCATATTGAAAACACTAGGTTTATCTTGTTAAGCTGACAGTACATAAAACTTGGTTCCTGATTCTGAATACTTTAAAGACAAATGATCAGTTGATGTAATTTCCTGTGTCTTTGTATGGAAATCAAAGTTAATTTCCTTTCGTCAGTAAACAACAATCACTTCAGTCCCTTCTAATGTTGTTGTCACTTTACATTTAAATGCTTTTATTTATATTAACTGGAATAAAAGAGATTTTTAACTAAATAAAAGACTATTGACAACTTAATCAATGACCAGATTCTTTTTGAGGACTTACTCTGTATGAACAACTGATAACAATTGATGTTTTCTTCTATCACATTTCCCATTTAAGGTACATGAGACCCAAGCACCTGTCGCTACTCAATCAATTGAACAGGATTTTAAAACAAGGACAGAGGCTGGGTTTTACTGGACTGTAACTTGTGGCCACCACGATGGATCAGATGTCCCCCTAACACAAGACCTGATCTTATCTAGTGAGAAGTATGAAACATTGCCATCCCTTGTACCAGGATATGAAAAATCTGGTTTCTTATTGAAATAAATAAGTCATGCTATGCATCAATATCGCTCCCCTGGATTTTTATATAAATTCCACAATAAGAGCTTGCTGGATCATACAAGGGTACCATTTTATTCACTTGTAACATCAGAAACTGAATCAAGCTGAAATTTCTGCTTTTTGATGCAGTGATCAAACAGAATGCTAGGCTGTATGAACTGTCCCACAGATATTGTCAGTATTTTAATGGCAGATTCACCTGTAAGGATTAATCTCAGTTCAACTCCCAGGTGTGAATTTCATGTTACTCCTCTAATCCCATGTGACATTATAAAGTTCCTACAGAACTACCACACTGCCCTCCACCTCTAATCCACCATGTGACAATAAAGTTCCTACAGAACTACCACACTGCCCTCCTCCTCTAATCCACCATGTGACAATAATATTCCTACAGAACTACCACACTGCCCTCCTCCTCTAATCCACCATGTGACAATAATATTCCTACAGAACTACCACACTGCCCTCCTCCTCTAATCCACCATGTGACAATAATATTCCTACAGAACTACCACACTGCCCTCCTCCTCTAATCCACCATGTGACAATAATATTCCTACAGAACTACCACACTGCCCTCCACCTCTAATCCACCATGTGACAATAAAGTTCCTACAGAACTACCACACTGCCCTCCACCTCTAATCCACCATGTGACAATAAAGTTCCTACAGAACTACCACACTGCCCTCCTCCTCTAATCCACCATGTGACAATAAAGTTCCTACAGAACTACCACACTGCCCCCTCCCTCCTCTACCAATCCACCATGTGACAATAAAGTTCCTACAGAACTACCACACTGCCCTCCTCCTCTAATCCACCATGTGACAATAAAGTTCCTACAGAACTACCACACTGCCCTCCTCCTCTAATCCACCATGTGACAATAAAGTTCCTACAGAACTACCACACTGCCCTCCACCTCTAATCCACCATGTGACAATAAAGTTCCTACAGAACTACCACACTGCCCTCCTCCTCTAATCCACCATGTGACAATAAAGTTCCTACAGAACTACCACACTGCCCTCCTCCTCTAATCCACCATGTGACAATAAAGTTCCTACAGAACTACCACACTGCCCTCCTCCTCTAATCCACCATGTGACAATAAAGTTCCTACAGAACTACCACACTGCCCCCTCTAATCCACCATGTGACAATAAAGTTCCTACAGAACTACCACACTGCCCTCCTCCTCTAATCCACCATGTGACAATAAAGTTCCTACAGAACTAACACACTGCCCCCTCTAATCCACCATGTGACAATAAAGTTCCTACAGAACTACCACACTGCCCTCCTCCTCTAATCCACCATGTGACAATAAAGTTCCTACAGAACTACCACACTGCCCTCCTCCTCTAATCCACCATGTGACAATAAAGTTCCTACAGAACTACCACACTGCCCTCCTCCTCTAATCCACCATGTGACAATAAAGTTCCTACAGAACTACCACACTGCCCTCCCCCTCTAATCCACCATGTGACAATAAAGTTCCTACAGAACTACCACACTGCCCTCCTCCTCTAATCCACCATGTGACAATAAAGTTCCTACAGAACTACCACACTGCCCTCCTCCTCTAATCCACCATGTGACAATAAAGTTCCTACAGAACTACCACACTGCCCTCCTCCTCTAATCCACCATGTGACAATAAAGTTCCTACAGAACTACCACACTGCCCTCCTCCTCTAATCCACCATGTGACAATACAGAACTACCACACTTGACCTACAGAACTACCACACTGCCCTCCTCCTCTAATCCACCATGTGACAATAAAGTTCCTACAGAACTACCACACTGCCCTCCTCCTCTAATCCACCATGTGACAATAAAGTTCCTACAGAACTACCACACTGCCCTCCTCCTCTAATCCACCATGTGACAATAAAGTTCCTACAGAACTACCACACTGCCCTCCTCCTCTAATCCACCATGTGACAATAAAGTTCCTACAGAACTACCACACTGCCCTCCTCCTCTAATCCACCATGTGACAATAAAGTTCCTACAGAACTACCACACTGCCCTCCTCCTCTAATCCACCATGTGACAATGATATTCCTACAGAACTACCACAGTGCCCCCCTCTAATCCACCATGTGACAATAAAGTTCCTACAGAACTACCACACTGCCCCCTCTAATCCACCATGTGACAATAAAGTTCCTACAGAACTACCACACTACCCTCCTCCTCTAATCCACCATGTGACAATAAAGTTCCTACAGAACTACCACAGTGCCCCCCTCTAATCCACCATGTGACAATAAAGTTCCTACAGAACTACCACACTGCCCCCCTCTAATCCACCATGTGACAATGATATTCCTACAGAACTACCACACTGCCCTCCTCCTCTAATCCACCATGTGACAATAAAGTTCCTACAGAACTACCACACTGCCCCCTCTAATCCACCATGTGACAATGAAGTTCCTACAGAACTACCACACTGCCTCCTCTAATCCACCATGTGACAATAAAGTTCCTACAGAACTACCACACTGCCCTCCCCCTCTAATCCACCATGTGACAATAAAGTTCCTACAGAACTACCACACTGCCCTCCTCCTCTAATCCACCATGTGACAATAAAGTTCCTACAGAACTACCACACTGCCCTCCCCTCTAATCCACCATGTGACAAAAAAGTTCCTACAGAACTACCACACTACCACACTGCCCTCCTCTAATCCACCATGTGACAATAAAGTTCCTACAGAACTACCACACTGCCCTCCTCCTCTAATCCACCATGTGACAATAAAGTTCCTACAGAACTACCACACTGCCCTCCTCCTCTAATCCACCATGTGACAATAAAGTTCCTACAGAACTACCACACTGCCCTCCTCCTCTAATCCACCATGTGACAATAAAGTTCCTACAGAACTACCACACTGCCTTCCTCCTCTAATCCACCATGTGACAATGAAGTTCCTACAGAACTACCACACTGCCCTCCCCCTCCATGTGACAATAAGGTTCACTGACAATAAAGTTCCTACTACCACACTGCCCTAATCCACCTCCTCTACCACAATCCACCATGTGACAATAAAGTTCCTACAGAACTACCACACTGCCCTCCTCCTCTAATCCACCATGTGACAATAAAGTTCCTACAGAACTACCACACTGCCCCCCCTCTAATCCACCATGTGAACTACCACAATC